AAAACTTCATCTCATCATATATCTTACACCACATGATGAAGAGGCAGAAATAAGTAGGGAAATAATTATACAGGGGTGCAACCCGACCAAGCTTATTATAGGTACAGTGCTAAGTGATGATCATGCAGATTATTTGTGGTTCGGAACCCAGGCAATAGCATCAGTGTAAATGAAATGGCAGATGGGAATGGTTCCGGGCTTAACGATTTGGAAGGACAAATGCTCTGGGTCCCATTCTGATGTGTCTAGATGGCAGATGGTTACTGCTTTAACCTTCTCCCCATCATCGCCTTTCAGGGAGAGAACATAAGCTGCTGTTTGTTTTATTGCATGGCAGAAATACACAGCATAGGGATAGTTCTCCTTATGACACACAACGACTTTGTCACCTGCCAACTTCTTCAGTCCCGGCATTGTGGTATAGTTGTGCATGGACATGGTGGCTCCTTTTTCCAATACCTCCGTCGAGATTGCTTCAACGTTTCTTGTTCCAAGCTTCGAAGTGCTAAAATCAACCATTGATTCTAAAGATGTGGCGCAATATATTTCCTCTCCCTTGAGGCCTGGAGCTTCACACTCTTCGATTGTTTGATTAATTGTTTTGGCTTCCTCAGATGTTGGCTTCACTGAAAAATGGTTGAAAATTTCTGGTAGTTTCTTAGAGGAGAAGGGGATCGATTGAGCGCTTTCTCGTGGCAGGAAAGTAGCCGTGTTTAAATTTCTAGGGAATTGGAACTTCATTGTTGTGCCAGGGCGCATGTCCTTCTCCAAGAAGAAAATAGCTAAGTCTTTATTGCCCAGTGAAGCACCTGTTTGCGTGTAATGTTTTTGAGTGTAATGTTTATTGCCCGTTGCAATCCAAATGAAAATAAATGGGGAAATCAAATTATAAAGTCTGATATGTTAATATTATATAAATCATGAAAGAAAGCTTTAAAAGGACCAGTTATAAATTAATGAAATTTACCCATCACATTCATTTTGTAAGACCATGCCTGCAAGATCTGCAACTTCTGCAAGTGCTGCCCTCCATCCATTCACCTTGTCCTTTTTCAAAGATCCATTTTTTTGGTGTCCAGCAAATGCTTTTGCAAAGCTTCCAGTCTGCTTCCTCACCTCAGATGGATCGATGTCGTAGAAGACTGGTAAAACTACATGATCAGATGTCCTCTTGCGTTGTAGGATCATCACAAGCTCGTCAAGGCACCATTTGGAAGACGCGTAATCTTTCGAAAACACAATGACAGAACTTCGTGAGTGTTGGATTGCTTTCTCCAGCTCTGGCTTGATATCTTCCCCTCTCTCAAGTTCATCGTCGTCTCGGAAAGTTTGAAGCCCTGCGTCGACAAAGGCCGTATAGATGTGGTCAGTAAAAGTTTTGCGAGTGTCTTCACCTCTGAAACTCAAGAACACATGATAACGGCAACCAAAAGTATCTGCAGAGGAGTCTTCTTGAGCTCTAACAAGTGCCATTGATGAACAAGCAGCTCAGTAAATCTAGCTGGTATTTTTTCCTTGCAGGTATCTTAGCTGATTATATCATGATCCGGTGATATTAATGCGCGTTTCAAAACAATCTGCTCATCAATGTCCTTTCCTGGTCAAGAAAGTAAAAGTAGTCTTCTCCATCAACTCAAAAGCGAATGGCATAGATACCAATGCATGTTCTTTTTACTCTTTCAGTCAAGCAAGTGAAAGAGATGTCCACTTATCCTAAACGCAGTAATTCGTGGTAGCTGTTAATTAAGGGGAAAACTTCTGAGTGGGAGACCACATGTGGGTGTGACAATCACATCGAAAAATAAAAGTCTTGCAACTTAACATTAAAAGAATATTGTTATTTGTCTCATCTCAGTTGTATTGTCTAATATTGAGTTGAGATTGTACAATTAATTTTATTCAAATTGAAATTGGGGACCTTGTTTAATTTAAATTTTACATAAACTTTTTACCGACTCAACTTTTGTTGCATAACCTCATTGAGGAAAGAGAAGAACGGTGTCTTGAAGGAACAAAACACCGGTTTGGACCGGTTTTTGTCTCAAATTAGAATCGAATTTGGTACTATTTATCCGGTTTGGTTTTGTTTAACTTTGACCAAAAAATTTCAAAAACTGTCCGGTTCAAGTTGAATCAGTTTCGGTCCGATTCGGTTTTGAAACGGATTATTAAAATTATTTTTTTCAAAGTATTGAATTTTTTTCTTTTTTGCTTGAAAATTAATAAATTATTTAATTTCATATAAAAATAAATATTCAAACTAGAAAAGAGAGATGTTTTGAAATTGAACTTGGATAAATATTAGTTATGAGATTAAAAATATAGCATTGAATATAAATAAATATTGAAATTATATATTTTTGGGAAATAGCCTTCTATGCCACTCTTTTGCTAATTTTAACTAAAAATACCATCCCATCCCAATTTTTTTACAACTAACACCTTTAAATATAAAATTATTGCCCACTAATTGTACCCATATCAGTTTTTCAGAAATTGGCTTCTCTCTCTAACTCTGTTCGCTCTCTCTCTTCGGCCTGTCTCTCTCCCTTGTGAATCTCTCTCTCTTCGACGCAATCGTCTTTCTCCTTCAACGGTGGCTGTTCATCCAAGCTTAACTCCATCGTTGAC